GTCAGGTGGTGTCTTAGTCTGTCCTGGAAAAGGAACACCAGGTTATGGAGAAAGGACAGTTTCTCCTTCCTGTGGGTCTCAAACACTTAACATGGATCTCTGTCTTTTAGACAGCTACTGTTTTGTTCCTGTGGGCTGCCTGATGCTTCTCTAAGTCTGATTGACTACTGCCAGCTTGTAACTTTTGCGAGTCGTGAGATGTTTGCTCTCTTAGCCGGCATGTAGAGGCCAGCAACAGTTTTGCAAAGGAGTTCTTCTCTTTCTGATGTCATAGGTGTCGCTGTTGCCGTGAACAACATAAGCCAACAGTTTGTCTAGGGTGGGGAGGATGGGGCTCTGTGGGAAGTCATGCTTCAGATTTTTTCATGCGAACCCTTGCAATGCTTAACAATGCTTACATGTCTCTGAAGGACTTACAGAGAACCAGGCCACTTAGATTGGAACAGAAAAAACCTTGTGCTGTCACTGCTGTTGGGCTGCCATTTTATATTTCCATGGCTTGTGTGATGCCCCTCCCCAGATTCCACCCAGCTGCTGAGTTAGTGCTGTGACATTATTTTTCATTAGGAAAACCAGTACTTAGGTTAGCGTTACTTACCCGTTTAAAAGGAAAGACTGCAAAGTGGAGAAAAGGTGTCCTTTGGTGCCCACAGACCTCCAGCAGTGTGGGGAAGCACAGAGTGAAGGATTCCCCAGCGGTCCCCTCTTTCTGTTCTCCCTCACCTCCTTAGGTGCCTGAGCACCTTCTTGCAGCTGGGTATTGGTTCACGCATGCAATTGCCCATGAAGACCGTCATAGAAAGTTGAGGGCTTGGGGCCGGTGCTGTGGTGTACTAGGTTAGGCCACACCTGTTAAGCCCCTCCCATATGGGCTCTGGTTCTAGTCCCGGCTGCTCCACTTCTTATCCAGCTCTCTGCCTGGGAAAGCAGCAGAAGATGGCCCAAGCGCTTGAGCCCCTGCACCTGCTTGGGAGACCTGAAAGAAGCTCCTGGCTCTTGGCTTTGGACTGGCCCAGCTCTGGCCATCATGGCCATTTGGGAAGTGAACCAGCAGATGGAAGACCTCTATTTCTACCTCTCCTGCAACTCTGCCTCTCAAATAAATAATAAATCAAAAAAAAAAAAAATACTAGAAAGTTGAGGGCTTCTCACACCCTTGCATTGCCTGGATCTTGTAGTGAGAGTATGTCAGGAAGAAAATAAGATGGTTCTTAGCATTAACAACACAAGAATGATATTGGTAACAGCAGCTGCCGTTTTCTGAGCTCTCAGGTGCCTGGTGCTCTACTTGGGTAACCTTGAGCCTCACCATGATACCTATGTGGAGACAGCGAGGAGGGTGCTGCGGGCATCCCCACTTCATGGCTAAGGAGACAGGCACTGCGAGTGCAGAACTGCCACCTGTAGGGTCTGTTTTGTTTGTCCAGAATTTCCAGTTTCATAGCATGTCTGTTTTTCATGTGGAAACCACTTCTCCAGAGCTCCAGTAAATTGATTTACTAGGAAGATTACTGCTCGGTTTTCCCCTGGTATCCTGAGAGTCATGCACGAGCCCGACATAGTTGTTTGAGAAACGCAGCCTGGAGAGTTAACAGCAATTTGGTTGTAAGTTAGCCTTAAATTTGAGAGAGCCTTGGATGAAGCCTGGGGCCAGGCCTGGAGCAGGAGAGGCGGCTGGAGGTTGGTATGTGAATGAGGGGTTTGTGATGGGCACCCCAGCCCCGAAGTCCCAGTTGCGTACTGCTCGGGCCTTTGCTAGCCTTTGGAGAAGGATACAAAGGCAGGAAACTACTTTGGCAGTGTTTCTGATCTAGTCTGGGAGGTAAAATACCTAAAACAGGCCCTTAGCTGTGCGTCCCTGCCCAGTTACTCAGTACGTAGTTCAGGTGTGGAGTACATTAGGCCTCAGAAAAGGCAGAGTGGTGCATTCTGGAGTGATGGGGCAGGCTGCATTGGAACAGGTGAAACCAAAGGAATCCCTGAAGAATGGGTCACAACAGAAATGGGGAGGCAGGTGTTCGGTTTAGCAGTTAAGCTGCTGATTGAGAATGCTTCTTTCCCGTGTTGGGGTATCTGCTGGCTTCACTTCCCAATTCCAGCTCCTAGCTGCAGCTTCCTGCAAGTGCAGACCCTGGATGCAGCTGTGATGGTTCAAGTCATTACATTTCTGCCTCCCACAGGGAGACCTAGATTGCATTCCTGGCTCTTGGCTTTGGCCCAGCCCATTCCTGGCCATTATAGGCATTTGGGGGGAATGAACCAATACATAGAAGTCTGTTTCTTTTTGTGTCTCAGCTTTTCACATTAAAAAATCAATTATAAAATGAATAAAAAGAATGATATATAAGCTGAGTGATTCTACTTGCCTTGTTTATTTATTTATTTTTAAAAGATTTATTTATTCACTTGAATGCTGAGTTACAGAGAGAGAGAGATCTTCCACCCACTGGTTCACTCCCCAATTGGCTGCAATGGCCAGAGCTGCACCGATCCGAAGACAGGAGCCAGGAGCGTCTTCTAGGTCTCCCACGCAGGTGTAGGGGCCCAAGGATGTGGGCCATCTTCTACTGCTTCCCCAGGCCATAGCAGAGCGCTGTGGAAGTGGAATAGCCGGGTCTCTAACCGGTGCCTATGTGGGATGCTGACACTACAGGCGGCGGCCCCACCTTGTTTATTCATGTATTTATATATGCATTCATATTTCTTTTTTGGTAAAGATTTTTTTAAAAGATTCATTGATTTATTGGAAGAGTTTAGGGAGAGGGAGGGACAGCTCTTTAATCTGGTTTACTACTCCCCAGATGGCTCAACACCCAGTGTTGTGCCAGGCTGAAACCAAAAGCTTCATCTAGATTTCCCACAAGGGTGGCAGGGGCTCAAGTACTTGGGCCATCTTCCCATGCTTTTCCCAGGCCATGAGCAGGGAGCTGGATGGGAAGTGGAGCAGCCGGGACATGAACTGGTGCCCATAAGGGATGCTAGCATTGCAAGTGGCTGGCTTAACTCCCTACTCCACAATGCCAGCCCCTAATTCTGGCGGAATCATCATCTGAATGTCCTCAGGTGAGTGGTGTTTCCCCTCGATTTAACACATTCCCCGCCACTCCTCTTACACCTGATTCTCACTCAACACTGATACCACGTGTAGGCACTTATGTGCAACTCCTGGTGTTAAGACTTGATTAAAATTAGGCAGCTTGAACAAGAAGTTCTTGGCGAAGTTCTTGTGGTGCAGCGGGTTCATTCTCTACTCTTTTTTTTTTTTTTTAAGGTATATTTATTTATTTATTTATTTGAAAGCTATTTAAATTTGGGGCCGGGGGAGGTGAGTAGAGAGATTTCTTTCATCTGCTGGTTCACTCCCTGGATGGTTCCAACAGCCAGGGCCTAGCCAGGATGGAGCCAGCAGCCAGGAGTTTCATCTGGGTCTCCCATATGGGTGCAGGAGCCCAGACACTTGGGCTATCTTCTGCTGCTCTTCCCAGGACATTTTCATGGAGCTAGGTCAGAAGTGGAGTAGCTGGGCACGAACTGTCACCCATATGGGATGCTGGTGTTGCTTTATCCACAACGCCGGCCCTAAGCCTCTGCTTTTGATGCCTGCATTACACATCAGAGCACTGGTTCAAGTTCTAGCTTACCTGCTTCCAATCCAGCTTCCTGCTAATGAGGCTGGAAAGGCAACAGGCTCAAGTTCTTGGGTCCCTGCCACCCAAGTGGGAGACCTGGATGGAATTCTTGGCTTTGTTCTGGCCCAGTCCTGGCTGTTGCGAACATTTGGGTAGTGAACCAGTAGGTACAAGATTTCTCTCTCTCTTTGCTTTTCAAGTAAATAAATCTTAAAAAATTCTTGTTGACTCTCCAGAACTTGAGAACCTTACTTTAAAACCTAAACTTGCTAAAATTTCTTCTGTTCTTAAAGAAAAAAGGAAGTGGGTCTTGCATTTGGGATTAAGATGCCAGTGGAGTTGCCTGCTTTTCACATCTGTGTATGGGGTTCAGTACCGGGCTGTGGCTCCTGACTTGAGCTTCCAACTAAGGTGGACCCTGGGAAGTAGTAGCAGTGGTTCAAGTGCTTGGGCAGCTGCCTTCCACGTGGGAGACCTGGATTGCATTTCCAGGTTCTGGCTTTGGCCTGGCCCAAGTTCCCTGGGGAGCTTCCTCACTCTCTTTCTCTGCCTCTCAAATAATTAAATGATTTTTCTTTTTGAAAAAGGAAGTAACATTTTGTCCTTTTGTTTAAGGCTGCCTTCCCTTCTCTTCCGCTGAAGAATTAGTGTCCGGCTGCTGAGACTGGGGGAGGGACAGCAGCTTGGGACAGCGAGCAGTGAATCGCTTTTCAAGGCTGGAAAGCCCCTTTCTGATCTGCCTGAAGAGTGCCTTCAGGATCAAGGCATGCGTGCAAGCAGGCTTGCCGGCAGAAGCCCCCACTCTGTGCCTTGCGTATGCTGTATGGGGCTTGGCTTTTATTTTGGCCATATGTCGACTTTGAGCGTAGCGGAGTTGATAAGCGGCTGCCAGACACTAATATTTCTTCCTTGTTTTTCTGCTGATGACATTTTTTCCTCTGTTGAGAGTTCTCTGGCCCAGTAAACTCTGTGGTTTACTGTTACTGGATGTGCCTGTGGTTAGAACTGGGATGGAGGCCCAGGAGACTCCCAGCTCGCTTCTGGGCTCTCCCCTGACTTCAAGAGGGTAGGCCCAGCGTCCGAGGTGAGGTGGGCACTGGTCAGCACTGGAGCCCGTCTCGATAAGAATGCGAGGGTGTCACATGTCCGGAACTTCCAGGCCAACTAGGAGAGACCGGGCGCTGGGCTGACTTTTGATCTCTTGGGAAATGGGCCGGTTCTTTCTGAGGTTTTCTGTGGTGAGGACTGGTGCAAGTTGGGTCATGAAGTTCAGGGGTAAGAGCTGTGGTGTTGTAGGAAGGTGGCTGGGGGGGAGGCCCAAAGCGTGGGGCTCTGGCTGGGGGCCTCACTGTCGCCTTCCCTCCTCGGCAGGCCCTGAGCGACCGCTTCAGCGGGGAGATCCCCGATGACCAGATGGCACACAGCTCCTTCTTTCCCGATGAGTACTTCACCTGCTCCTCCTTGTGCCTCAGCTGCGGGTAAGTGGGGCAGCCGCCGGCCTTGCTGTGGAGCGGAGCCTCAGGGTGGCGCTTCCCGGCCTCCTGCCAGTGAGCTTGGGCCTGGATTTAATGATGGGCAGGGTATAAGGCCTGAGAGCCTGGAGGATGGGGACTGCTCTTGGAAGCCACAAGGGCTTCAAGGACCCATGGCCAAGAAGAATGTCCTGCAGCTGACCTGGCCCCAAGGGTCAGCTGGTTTTTGTGGCAGGAGACCTAGGGTGGGCCTGTTTTTCTGTGTTTCTTATGCAGGATTTTTTTTTTAAGTATCCGCTCTTTTTTTAAAAAAATATTTATGTGTTTGAAAGGTGGAGTTATAGAGGCAGAGAGAGATGGACAGAGAGAGGTCTTCCATCTGCTGGTTCACTCCCCAAATGGCTGCAATGGCCAGAGCTGGGGAGAACTGAAGCCAGGAGCATCTTCTGGGTCTCCTATGAGGGTGCAGGGGCTCAAGCACTTGGGGCATCTTCTACTGCTTTCCCAGGCCACAGCAGAGAGCTGGATTGGAAGTGGAGCAGCCAGGACTCGAACCGGCACTCATATGGGATGCTGGCACTGCAGGTGGCTTCTTTACCTGCTACAGGACAGCTCAGACCCCTCTTACCCAGGCTTTGAGTCTTTTATGCACAGTTTTCCCTGCACCTGGCTGCCTTCTGAGTGTGGGCCTTGATCCCAGGGTGGTTGTTTCACAGTGAGGGCAAATGCTGAGGCACTTTAGACTTTGCCAGGAAGCTCCCAAAATCACGGAGGCCACGTCAAGGGTCCTCAGTGAAAGTGATCCGGGTGTATGTTTAAAGGTTCATCACCCCGTTCTAGTGCGCAGGACAAAACTGAATGCCGAGGACACTGAGTTAGGGCATGCTACTCAAGCTTGAGTATTTATGACCATCACCGAAGGTCTTAGGAAGATCCAGATTGAGTCAGGGCTGAACCTGGCCAGGGAGCAGCTCTGGGGTGGTGCCTGTGCTGTTGATTCATGGACCCCACTTTGTTACATGTGTCCAGAAATTTGGAAGGGTGTAAGAAGACATTGTTGGGCCCTGCTCCGACAGTTTCCGATTGAATAGGTACCGAGTAGGGCCTGAGGATCTGCATTATTTTTTAAGAGTTACTGATTCATTTGAAAGGCAGAAATGGAGAGAAGGAGAGAAGGAGAGAGAGAGAGAGGTCGATCTTGCATCTGCTGGTTCACTCCCCAGTTGGCCCCAATGGCTGCAGCTGGGCCAATCCAAAGGCAGGAGCCTGGAGCTTCATTCAGGTCTCCCACGTGGGTGCAGGGGTGCAGGGGTCTAAGCACTTGGGCCATCTTCTGCTGCTTTCCCAGGCACATTAGCAGGGAGCCGGTTCAGAAATGGAGCAGCTGGACTCCAACTGGCACCTGTATGGGATGCCTGCACTGCAGGCAGAGGCTTAACCTGTGTTTTTAAACAGTTCCTAGGTGATCCAGATGTTGCTTGCTGGGCTGCATTTTGAGAATGGCTGGATTAGTTGGAGCTGTTGATGGCTGTCACATCACAGCCCTGTGACTTGTCTGAAGGGCCACTAGGGGTTTAAATGCAATGAGTCAACGTCCGATGGCTGTCCCTATCTCCTGTAGGCCCTCCCCGCGCCTTCACCGCGGGAGTGTCTGTGCTCATCCCAGCACCACTTCCTGCGTCCTCCACACCTCCCATCGGCAGGAAGAGGCGTGAGCCTCCTGCGGTCATGACTGGCTTTTTTGCACTGAACGCTGCTGGCCAGCAGCTGGATCGTGAACCACTGCTGACCTGAGTACAAAGGACTTGGCTCCTGGATTTTGTGATCTGTGCCAGGATCATCTGGGGCTGTTCAGCTTGGGAAGGGGGACCGGGGTGCCAGTCCAGCGAAATGTCCCTTGCTTTTTGCTGGCCCCCACAAGCCCAGAGTAAGGGGCTTCAGCACTGTTGACTCATCACTTTGCCGTTCTAACTGAACCTCACCAGAATTTCCAGGATTCTCGGTTTTGTCCCAGTGAAATGCCCAAGTCCTCGTCTTTGCCGCCGTGTGGCCAGGCTGGCAGAGCCCACTGTTAGTTGGGAAGTTCTTCTCCTGCTGAAGCCTCCCCATGAGGCACTGCCGCGTAGCGTCGTGGGGGCTGGTTTTAGTCCTGCTGGAGTTTCCCTGAGGGCGCTTGAGGTTTCATTGCCAGCCACAGTGGTGTCTGGCTCTTCCGTTCCTGCTGAGGGGCCAGGTAGAGTTTCCGGGATTCCTCCCCGCCTCTTCCTCGTTTGAGGGAAGCGCTTGCCCTGCCTCCGGGTGCTGCTGATGCAGGCGTAGCGCATCTGCGTGGTCTGAGATGAACCGTCCCACCTGCCCTCAGCGGCCGATGCCAGTTCCTGGCCTGGGGTCGGCGCCTCTGTGCAGGTGCCCACGGCCCCCTTGGTCCCCCTTGGCCTCTCAGCATCAGTTTTTGGACCTCACTCAGGGTTGGATGTAAGAACAGCATGAACCATGGGAAGGAAGGAGTGCCTCATGAAGCCAAGAGCCGCTGCAGATACTCGCACCAGTACGACAACCGCGTTTATACATGCAAGGTGAGTCCCGCGAGCGGGCTGGCCACTCGCGCTCTCCTTTGTTGCTGTCCTGAGCTGTATCCCAAAGTGTCTGATGCTCAGGTTAAATCTCTGCAGCTTCTCCACTGCTCTAAACCAAAGCACTCCCGCTCTCCAGGGCTGGCACCCCTTGGTCTAGTTCTTGAAGCTCTTCCCTCTCTCGTGTGGAGTTTGTGCTGTCAAGGTCACGTGCATTGGGTATTCATTCTCAAAGAGAGCAAAAGTGCTCGTCTGGCAGGTGGCTGCTGTCTATGACAGGTGTGCATGGCCTGGGCCCCGTACACACTCAATTCATTATGCAGGGCGCTGGCTCCCTGAGAGAAATGGACTTTCTGACAGGCCAACCTCAGGGTCGGAACCCTCAGCTGCCATGGGGGAGCTGTCGGGAGCTGGCTGGCCTGGTGTATGTCAGCGCAGCTGGCACGGTGCTCTCCACGTTTCAGGCCTGCTATGAGAGAGGCAAGGAAGTCAGCGTGGTGCCCAAAACATCTGCTTCCACCGACTCTCCCTGGATGGGGCTCGCCAAGTATGCCTGGTCTGGGTGAGTTGAAGCAGCCTTGCTCAAGGACTTTGGGTGTATTTTGTCCCCAGGCACCTGGCTGCGTAACAGTATGGATTTGCTCCCTCGTAGGTATGTGATCGAATGCCCTAACTGTGGCGTGGTCTATCGCAGCCGGCAGTACTGGTTTGGGAACCAGGATCCTGTGGACACGGTGGTGCGGACGGAGATTGTGCACGTGTGGCCTGGAGTAAGACCTCTTGCCTGTTTCTCCTGTGTCGTTGGTTACTCACGCGGAAAAGCAGAGCGTGGTTAGAACTGAGGTTAGCCAGCAGTCTCAGGTGGTGGTGTAGGAGGGCGCGAGCTGGAGAGCCTTCCTTGTTTAATTGCTTTCATTTCCTCTTGCATAAATAGGAGGAGTGCACCTTTAAATAAAGCAAAAATTTAACATGCAGTTCTAGTCCTTTAGCAAACAACACTTTTTGATGTTCTCATTCACTTTCGTGTGGTGTATATTTTTAGAGATTATCATTTACAAGCCTTTGTATGCTTTTTATCTCCGTAGACATTTCCATTGTGTTTTGTTTCCGCATTGCTTCCATTTTTTGTGCTTCTCATTTGCAGTCACCGTGTACAGCTTGATGCCCCATTCCTTCAGTTTGGGGCATTTTTGCTGTTTGTGATGATTGTATATTCACAGTAAATGCTATAGTGGCCATCTTGCTGTGTGTTTCAATTGGACTCCTGAATTAAAAGATGTTGGGAAAACAAAGCTGTTTCCAGCAGTGCCGTGGTGATTCTGTTGCACATGCAGCAACTCTTCCCATTAGAATAGCCCCCAAATCCCAGCAATTCCGAACCCCTTTCTCGTGGGAAAAGAAGTGAGTTTTTCTGACTTACTTCATGGTGCTCCCCTTGCTGGTGCTTCCTAAAGCTACTCTTTTTTTTTTTAGATTTTATTTATTTATTTGAAAGGTAGAGTTACAGACAGAGCGAGAGACAGACAGAAAGGTCCACCATCCACTGGTTTACTCCCCAGATGGTTTACTCCCCAAATGGCCACAATGACTGGCGTTGGGACAGGCCAAAGCTAGGAGGAGTTCCTTCTGGGTCTTCTATTTGGGTGCAGGGACCCAAGCACGTGGTCCATCCTTAGCTGCTTTCCCAGGTGCATTAGCAGGGAGCTGGATCAGAAGAGGAGCAGCGGGGACCCAAACCAGCACCCACATGGGATCTAGGCACCGCAGGCAGAGGCTTAGCCTACTACGCCACAGCACCGGCCCCTCGAAAGCTACTCCTGAGCTTGGTAGTCCCACCTGCACATGCACGTTTGAGCTTGCCTGGCCTCCCGTGGATACCATCAGACTCGAGATTTCCTTGTTTTCTTCCTCTTTTTCCCAATTTCCAGGCCCACTGGGACTTGTTATTGTAGTGTGTTTCCTTCCTGGAGCCAGCCTCCCTGGCGCTGTGGTGCGGGACTTCCTGTGGCAGGGGTTTCATGTGGCTGTAAATCGAGAAAGTGTGCTACCGCTGGGCTCGCTGACGCTGCCGGAAGTCACTGAGCGGCTGCATTCCGCGCGGTCCTTGGGATTCGAACACAGGCCCCTCCCTTCTGTTTGCACACTCATTCATTCACTCATTCAGTACTTCAACGTGACGTTGAGTACTTTGTGCCCAGAACTGAATTTTAGAATGTTTTTTTTTCCCCCCTAGTTCTGTGAAGAATGTCAAACCTGCTTTGGCTATTTAGAGTTATTGCTGCTTCTGTGTGAATTTTAGGATGGTTTTCTCTGGTACTGTTGAGATTGTATGTGTCCCAAATGAAGCTACCTAGGTGCTTTCCAAAAATACAAAAATGAACCAAGTAGTACTCTCCGAGCACTCCTACTCTAATGGGGAGTCAGGTGCACTTCACATAGAAGTAGAATTCCCAGAGACGTAAGTCACTGCAGGAACTGAGACCAGCGCGGGGTGGAGGAGGAAGGCCTCCTGGAGGAGGTGTCAAGTCCCGTGTCATGGGGGAACAGGAATACAGAGTGAGTAGCTGCACCCCAAGTCTGGCCACCTAGGGCAGAGAAGTCAGGGCTGCCTGTTTGAGTGTAGACTTTCCCAGGAGCTCCAGAGGCGGCTGCCCGCCCCTCTGGTCCCTGCCAGGCAGTGAGGGTCGTGCCGCTCCCTGGCGACGCCCTCGCCTGCCTTTTGCTGCCTGCGCTAAGCCTGCTGGGGGCTGTGTTTCCTTTCAGAGCGACGGATTTCTGAAGGACAACAACAACGCTGCCCAGCGCCTGCTGGACGGGATGAACTTCATGGCGCAGTCGGTGTCCGAGCTCAGCCTTGGCCCCACCAAGGCTGTGACTTCCTGGCTCACGGACCAGATCGCCCCTGCCTACTGGAGGCCCAACTCCCAGATCTTGGTACAGTGGGATGGGTGTCCGTGCGCCCTTGTCCCTGAGCTAAGCTTACTCTGGGAGAGGGCCACAGCGCTTTCCTCCCAGTAAATCAGCCGCCAGGGCATCTCCTTTCTTTTTAAAAAAGATTTGTTTATTTGAAAGCATTAGAGGGAGAGACAGAGAGAAAGGTCTTCCATCCGCTGGTTCACTCCCCAAATGGCCACAGTGCCTGGGAAGCTTTGTCCAGGTCTCCCATGTGGGTGTCAGGGACCCAGGTACTCTGGCTGTCTGCTGCTGCCTTCCCGAGCACATTAGCAGGGAGCTGGATCTGAAGTGCAGCGGCTGGGGCTTGAAACAGCACCCACATGGGATGCGAGCATTGTAGGCAGCAGCTTAACCAACTGTACCACAGTGCTTTCCCCTCACTTTCTGATTTTGTTTTTGGGAGGGGGGCAGGCAGGTAAGGACCGAGTTCTAATCCTGTAGTTCATTTCCCAAATGCCTGCTGGGGCTGGACCAAGTTGAAGCGAAATCTGGGTTTTCCATATGGGTGACAGGGATCCAACCCCTTTCTCACCACAGCTTCCCAGATTCCGTGTTAGCAGAATGCTGGCATCGGGGTGGAGCCAGGACTCAAACCCAGGAACTCGGATATCGGGCTTGACCACTAGGCTAACTGCCCATCCCGTCAGCATGCATTTCCTTTGTGGTGATAGGTTTGAGGGTTCTTCCCGGCGGGGCCCAGCTAAGGCCCCAGGATCAGGGGTCGTATCCACAGGCTCTGGAGGTAGAGGGACCTCCGAGGCTTCGCACAGGACCCTCCAGTGCCCTTGCTTCATGTTCTTTGTGGCCGGAAACTTGCTCCTTCCGGGGCTTCCTCTCGCCCGGAGTAACTCTTATTAGTGGGGAGTTTGTGTCCGTATTGAGCTAAAAGCCTTGTCTCTCGGTTCCTGGTTGCTCCCTGGGTCATGGGGAGGTTCTGTGCTGCTGAGCAGACCCGGTGACCCCTGCCTGTCTCTTCTGTCTTGGGTTCGGAACAGAGCTGCAACAAGTGTGCGACGTCCTTTAAAGAGAACGACACCAAGCACCACTGCCGGGCCTGCGGGGAGGGCTTCTGTGACAGCTGCTCCTCCAAGACGCGGCCCGTGCCGGAGCGGGGCTGGGGTCCCGCGCCCGTGCGCGTGTGCGACAACTGCTACGAGGCCGGGAGCTCGCACCCAGGTAACGGGGACCTGGCAGCTGCCAGGGTGGAGTGGTTGGCACCTGGACTCCCACGGGCCCCAGGACTGATGTCCGTGCGGGAGCCACAGCTCCTGTGGCTGGGGCCAGTCGTCCTCTCAGCTGTTCCTCTCGGAGTCGAACGTGTCCTGTGGCTGAAGCTGCCAGGGAGCCTCTGAGAGAACATACACACACGTGGTTACCACTGCAGCTCGCAAGGGTTTGCTTGGACCAGGTCTTCCTTGAGAACACTCCAGATCCTGCCCACAGATCTCCAGCTTTCCTTAAAAGGTTTTAAAATAGTTTCAGAGGGTTGCAGGTGCAGGGTAACAGCTGTTACCCAATTTCAATGTCAAGGTCTGGGCTGACCTGACCCACAGCCCAGACTCTTACAACCTTTGCATGACAGACAGTGCCCTCAGAAGCATCCAGAAGTGTTCTGAGGTTGCGACCCCAGCTTTCCCTTTGTCCTTGTCTGTAGATGTTGCCGAGGCACAGGCGGACGATGAAGGCGGAACATTGATTGCTCGGAAGGTGGGCGAGGCTGTGCAGAACACCTTGGGCGCCGTGGTGACGGCCATGGACATACCACTAGGTGGGCTTCTGCCTGTGCTGTGCATGAGGTGGGCGGTGCCCTGCTGTCTGAGGCTGGCCACCTAGCCTGAGCTGGGGAGCCAGGAATTGGTGACGCACTTCCCAGTGCCTGGCCTCTGCTGCCTGCCACGGTGGGCTCACGCGCATCCTGGTGCACCACACGCTTCGTGAACTGTGAAGGCTCACAGGGACAACCACTTTATGGTGTGGGGCCAGAAGTCGGGGAGGGTCACTGCTCTGCTCTGGGTGCCACTGCCTGGAGTTCTCCTTCACTGATACTCCAGGATGCGGCCGGAGTGGTCTCAGCGGTCCAAGCTGACCTCACTCGTATGCCAGCTGCCTTGGCAGGGATCGCCGGAGGAGGCCTGTCCCTCTCATTCCCCTCTCTGGCTCTCCCCAGGAGTAGCTGCACTACCATGGTGGCTCAGGGCTGAAGAGCTAGCATGAGACAGGAAGTAGAAACTGCCTGCCTCTTAAGGCCCGAGCCTGCAAGCTGGCATTTCTCCAATAGCCGGTTGCAGTCACAGGGCAACTGGAGCCTCACGGAGGGAAGGTGTGTCAGGTTTCATCAGTGTGAAGCCCGTTGCGCCAGCCAAGCTCTTCTGAATTCAGGACTTGAGGTTGCCACTCAGCTCCGAATAGGAGGGGTCAACGTTGGTAGCTCCAGGGGGAGAAAAAGGGAAACCGACCAGGGCGTGGAGGGCTTAGGCAGGGGCGGCCCCAGGTGGAGGTAGTTTGGTTCACTAGAGGGGAGAGTCCAGAGGTTCCTGGGTGGGTGGTGATGAAGAGAGCTTGGCTCCAGGCCGGCGCCGTGGCTCACTAGGCTAATCCTCCGCCTTGCGGCGCCGGCACACTGGGTTCTAGTTCCGGTCGGGGCGCCGGATTCTGTTCCGGTTGCCCCTCTTCCAGGGCAGCTCTCTGCTGTGGCCTGGGAAGGCAGTGGAAGATGGCCCAAGTCCTTGGGCCCTGCACCCCATGGGAGACCAGAAGTACCTGGCTCCTGCCATCGGATCAGCGCAGTGCGCCGGCCGCAGCACACTGGCTGCGGCGGCCATTGGAGGGTGAACCAACAGCAAAGGAAGACCTTTCTCTCTGTCTCTCTCTCTCACTGTCCACTCTGCCTATCAAAAAAAAAAAAAAAAAAAAAAAAAAAAAAACAAAAAAAAACAAAAAAAACTTGGCTCCGATGCACTAACTTTGACACACTGAGTTTGGCACAGAAAGTGAGTAGATGGTGAGCTCTTGGCTCGAGGGTGTAGGAACAGATGGATTTGCACAGGCTTGAAGCTCAGGTCGTACCTGCCCTCAGGGCTACCTGGAAGAGGCAGGGCTGCCCTTGGCACAGGTTGCTCTAGCTGTACTCACCAAGGGTTCCCAGGCTAGTGTGTCCGACACGTTACTTCTTGTCAACCTCCTAGCAGCTTTCTTAGGGGAGTGGGTGAGGCTGAGTAAGTAACCTCTCTCAGTCCTGCGTGGGCTCGGGGGAAGCGGGCTCTGAGCCGAGGCATGTCTCGGCTGCGTCCAGAGTGGGGGCTTTCTGGGGGCTCCTCCCGGAGTTCTTGATAAATTAATGGATTAGCAAGGCAGAGGCAGAGAGGGGAGAGACGTGTCTTCCTCCTGCTGGCTCACTTCCTGAGTGTGCCCAGTGGCCAGCGTCTGAAGGCAGGAGCTGGGAACTCAGTCCAGGTCTCCCGGACAGGTGGCAGGAGCCCAGTTCCACTGCCTCCCTGGGGTTGTGTCAGCAGGAATGCAATCAGGGATGGAGCCGGGGCTGCAGCATGGGCTGCAGGCGGCCCAGGTGGCCAGCCCCTCCCCCCACTGTGGGTCCCTATGCAGCAGCATTTAGGCTCACCGGAGAGCACGTGGATCTAAAACGTCACTGCCAAGGCCTCCGGGCTGATGATTCTGATGGGCTCGGGGAGCGGGAGTCCTGCCGCTGCTGTTCTCGGCCAGTTGTGTGGTGACACTGCGTGCAGCTGGGGTCGAGGCCGGTGGCTGTCTGAGGATGGCTCTGGCCAGCTGTGACTCGGTCGCGGGTCCTTTCCTGACCGTGCCTGTCCTTCCCTGGCGCAGGGCTGGTGAAGGATGCGGCCCGGCCGGCGTACTGGGTGCCTGACCACGAAATCCTGCACTGCCACAGCTGCCGGAAGGAGTTCAGTGTCAAGCTCTCCAAGCACCACTGCCGGGCCTGTGGGCAGGGCTTCTGCGACGAGTGCTCCCACGACCGCCGTGCTGTCCCCTCTCGTGGCTGGGACCATCCTGTCCGAGTCTGCTTCAACTGCAATAAAAAACCCGGTGACCTTTAACCCCAGCTCCCTCTGCGAGTCCTTCACAATTCCTTAGGTTCTCAGGGTTAGAAACACAAGTCTCGTTGAGGTAGGCCCTCCCTCCGGTCACCTGTGTGTGTCCTCTCCTCTACCCCTCCTGGGGCCACTTGCCGTCGGTGGGGGGCGAGCCTGGCGGCAGGCCCGAAGGCGTCAGCCCCTCCGGGCAGGGCACCTAGCAGCTCAGAGCAAAGGGGACTGAACCAGAATCCGTTGCTTTCATATCAGTTAAAAATAGTAAATAAATCGGCGTCTAGCTCTCCACGTACACACACGAAAGGGCCTGGGAGCGGGATGAGCCGTGCCCTGCGCTGGGGGCGGCGGCCGAGGCAGCAGGTCTCCCGCAAGCCCTGCCTCTCCCCTGCTGCTGCTCGCGGGGCCCGGGAGCGTCTCCACCTTGCTCCTCAGCTGCCTGGGAGGTGAGCGTGCAGCCGCTGCTCGCTTCAAGCAGCCTGAAGGGACTCCAGGCACTCGGGCAGCGGCAGCTCGGTTCTTGGTTTCCGCCTGTTGCTGGCAGATACACCCAGTTCAGTGCGCAGGTGTCTAGAGAGGCGCAGGGCCCGCCCAGAGAAGCAGCATGCAGGGGCCATGCCGCCCTCCCCCAGGCCACGCCCCCTTGCTAATCAGGGCTCCCGCCATACATCCTCTCCGGCCCCACCTGCCTCTGAGCATCGCACTACAATTTTTATTGCTTATTTTAAAGTATCTTAAATCTTTGTTCCCAGACACACAGCCCCTCTAGCTATTGGAGGGGTGATCGTGAGAAGCCTTCCAGGGAAACAGAGCACAGAATGGACTGTTAGTTGTTTTTTAAAGTATATTTCCACCGATCATCAAGAAAACATCCTCTCTTCTCAGAAGAGAAGTCCAGTGAACTTTGGCTTTTACCGCGAGCTTGGACATCTGGGTCTGTCGTGACTGGAGAGAGACTGTTGTGCTGAAATCCTGTCATGGTGGATTTTGTCTTCGATGGCCAAAAATGAAGAACGAAAGCCAGCGGCTCTTCACAGGACTGGTGGGTGGAGTGAGCGTCGGGACTGGTGCGGGTGTCACTATGGTGGAGCCTGGACGTGCTGGTCCCTTGCACACCTGCTCCTGCTGCCTCCTGTGGCCCGGGGTCTGCCCTGCCCTAGAACTGTGTATTACCAGGTTCGCCGTTATAAAGGATCTTCCTGCAGAACACAGCTCGTGTGCACTCTTTATGTCTCCCTCTCGCAGTAGATGGGGAAGTGGCTGGGAGCTGTCAGAGCAGAAGCCAAGTGAGAGGCGTGTGTGAGGGGCTGCAGCCGATCCACGCACAGGCGTGATCAAAGACCTCACCGAGGTGCCTGTGCCTGTCAGGGAAGTGTGGATTTTAAAATGTTTTGGCCACAAAATACTTCTAATTCAATTTTCCATGACTTGTTGAAGTCCCTGTTGTACTTAGAGAAGTGTTTCTGAGATTTTTTTCTTTGACAGGCAGAGTTAGACAGTGAGAGAGAGATACAGAGAGAAAGGTCTTCCTTCCATTGGTTCACCCCCCAAGTGGCTGCTACGGCTGGCATGCTGCGCTGATCCAAAGCCAGGAGCCAGGGGCTTCCTCTTGGTCTCCCATGTGGGTGCAGGGCCCAAGTACTTGGGCCATCCTCCACTGCACTCCTGGGCCACAGCAGAGAGCTGGACTGGAAGAGGAGCAACCGGGACAGAATCCGGCACCCCGACCGGGACTAGAACCTGGGGTGCTGGTGGTGCCAGCCTCTGAGATACTTTTTAAAAAACTCATCTGAAAGACAGAATTAGAGGGAGGGACAGAGAGAATCTTCCATCTGCTGGTCCACACCCCAGTATGGCCAGAATAGCCAGGGCTGGGTCAGGCTGAAGCCAGGAGCTCCTTCCTGGTCTCCCACATGGGTGCAGGGAAACAAGCCCTTGGGCCGTCCTCTGCTGCTTTCTCAGGCACATTAGCAGGGAGCTGGATTGAAAGTGGAGCAGCCAGAACTTGAACCAGCACTCACATGGGATGCCAGTGTTGCAGGTGGTGGCTTAACCCGCCGTGCCAGCAGAGAGCAGCTGTGGGTCTGGAATGGGTTCCTGTCACCATGGCTGGCTGTCTCTTCCCCACCAGCTCGTACAGGGGCAGAACTTGTAACTTAGCAAGACTGGTGTAGAGAAGGAGGTCATGAGGTCACAGCTGCTGCCATGCCCTTGTCCTGTGCTGGGGCCCAGCTCTGGGTGCTGTGCAGCCTGTGCGCTCTGATTTTTCCTGTTAGCTCTTACCTGCCTCCCTGGACAAGACTGCGTGTGGCACCTGGCTTGTGATTTTTAGGGTTAGAGTGGATGCTACTGTGACCTGTGGAAATCCCGCCAGGTCGGAGCTGTGGGTTCATTCGGGTCTCCCGTGTAGGTGGTGGGAACCCAAGTGCCTTTGCTGTCACCTGCTGCTTCCCAGGCTGTGCACTTAATGCAGCCAAGGTGGATCTGAAGCAAAAGCCTTGAAGCTCCTTGGTTAAGTTACTAGTCCCCCCTAGATGTGAGAGTGTGTGGGGAGGCTTACTTGTGCTGCTGGGTGTGAGCGAGTGGTTAGAACTGGTCGAGGCGGCCCAGGAGTTCCCGAGGTGCCAGGTTTGGTTTCTGCATCTGGATGCTGGTGTTGCGAAAACCAGCCGAGCTGAGATGTGCAGGTTGGTTCAACTGAAGAGGTGGAAGCAGGGAGGGACCAAGCCCAGACTGCAGTGGCCCAAGCGAGGATGGGGGGGTGGCTGGCAGAAGGTGGGCAGGCAGGCAGGGGAGAGGAAATGAAGGTGGAAGTGCCACCTTCAAAGGTAGGAAACGGGGCAGGCACTTAGCACAGTAGCTTATGTTGCACTTAGGAATGATGTGTCCCTATTGGAGTGCCTGGATCGAGTCCTGGCTCCTCTGCTTTGAGGTGATGGCTCAGGTACTGTCTCTGTCACCGACATAGTAGACCCAGATGGAGTTCTGGGCTCCTGCTACAGCCTGGCCCAGCCCTAGCTGTGCTGGGCATTTGGGAAGTGAACCAGTGGATGGGAGATGCTGCCTTTCAAATAAAATGAGGTGCGTGTGGGGGGAACCCACCCACTCGCTCTAGGACGGTGGGGATGGTTGCATGTAGCGTTGGGACCCGCTGAGCCCCTTACACATCCTTGGGTATAACTCGGCTGGCATGACTTACGTTGGAATGGAGACATGGAAAGAACCAGCACTTCCCTGCCTGTCACACTGCCCGGTATTGTGCTAGCAGCTTTAGATGTGGCTGCGGGAGCTGGCGCTGGGGGTCACTTGGTTAATCCTCCGCCTGCGGCGCTGGCGAACCATATGGGCTCCAGTTCTAGTCCCGGCTGCTTCTCTTCCAGTCCAGCTCTCCGCTGTGGCCCGGAAGGGCAGTGCTTGGGCTTCCTGCATGGGAGACCAGGAAGAAGCCCCTGGCTCCTGGCTTCAGATTCGTGTAGTTCCGGCCATGGTGGCCATTTAGGGGGTGAACCAACGGAAGGAAGACCTTTCTCTCTGTGTATAACTCTACCTGCCCAAAAAAAAAAAAAAAAAATGGCTGGGAACCCTCACAACCACGTAGGTGGTTTAACGCAGCAAAGCCGCTGGTGGACTAGACTTGAGGGTGGTGCCAGGGCCCAGCAGGACTGGAGCCAAGGAGCGTGTGCCCTGCCTCCCACACCACTCCCTGCAGCTGCCCCTCCCCTCACAGGTTGTGAGTTATTCTGCATTCTAGGGAAGGTGTTTTTCCTCTAGAGGATGTTGTGCAGGCTTTCCTTCCTGGGTGATCATTTCTTCGAGTCTCATGACCCAGGCCAGCAATACTACACTAGGCAGCTGAGCACCTGGTCTACCCTCTAATACAAAAGCCACACTTCCAACTGGTCAAGGAAAAATCTGATATAATGGTAATTTTACAACTGGCCATGTTTTCATTTTGAATTTTAGAAACATCATTTGGGGAGAAAAACTGAACCCCTGGTAGTAGCTTTCCAGTCAGCTGTAGCTGGGACAGAAATTATCGTAGATGTGAACACCGAGTCCTGTGCAACCGGGCCCACTGCACCCTTTGGTTAACAGATTTACCCACGAGGGCTGGTGCGCTGGCGCAGTGGGTTAAGCTGCTGCTTGTGACGCAGGCAGCCCACACTGAACTCGAGTTCCAGCTGCAGTGCTTCCAGTCTAGTCCGTGCTAATGCACTGGGAAGCAGGAGAAATGGCGGAAGTACCTGGGGCCTGGGTACCCATGCAAGAGACCAGAATGGAGTTCCTGGCTCCGGTCTGGCCCCGGCCTGATTACTGCACGCCTTTGACGAGTGAACCAGCAGATGGAAGCTCCTGAGTCTTTTCAGTGTGGACTTGAACTGGCACTCTGATATGGGACGGTGGTGTTGCAGGTGGCAGCTTAACTTGCACACCAAAAAAGCTTTTAAGGATTTATTACTTATTTAAAAGTCAGAGTTAGAGAGGCCTTCCATCTGCTGGTTCACTCCCCAGATGGCTGCTAATGGCTGTAGCTGGGCTGATCCAAAGCCAGGAGCCTCCTCTGGGTCTCTTACTGTGGGTGCAGAGCCCAAGGACTTGGGCCATCTTCCATTGCTTTCTCAGGCCACAGCAGAGAGCTGGATTGGAAGTGGAGCAGCTGGGACTCGAACCAGCACTCATATGGGATGCCAGCATTGCAAGTGGTGGCTTTACCAGCTGTGCCGCAGCAATGGCCCCCACCTGCATGGTGAAGTTAAACCCCTGCTCAGAAATCTGGGATGGAGTCACCCCCTGCCACTTCGGCTCCAGCTTCCTGCTGTGCATCCTGACACTATCAGAAATACTGGCAAGAATGTGACATGCCGAGTCTAGCTTTGTCGGGTTTGGGGTGGAGTGGGGGTGGTGGAGCCACACTTCCTGAAGAAACCTTTTAAGCTGGGCTTTACTCACCTTCTGCATTTTTCCAGATTAAAAGGAGGGATGTGTTAAGCCAGGCCTAGACTAGGTCGTGTTTGGGAAGGTAAAACTCATTACTGTGTCCTCCAAGCGCCAGGGGGAGGCAGTAGTGCGTGCGATCCAACACAAGAGGCACACAGGGCACAGGGAAGCACTGACAGCAGCAATCTGGACAGATTTCTCTGCACAGATTTAGGGAAGACGGTCAGCAGCTTTTAGTTAACGGAGAAACGGAGGAAACTAGATTCAGTCCGAAGTGGTTTTTGGAGGTGGTTTGGTGAACATTATAACCAGGACAGATGTGCAGCTGACCGGGCCGCAGACAAAGGACACTTCCAGGGCTCCGTGCTGGGGGCCGCGGCAGAGGCCGTGCCTTTGACAGCATGCTGGGCTGGGCTGGCAGAATTCTGGGGCGACTCAGCGACGTGGGCTGGTGTGTTAACTATTGGTCGTATCTCTACTTAGAAGGTCCCGAGAAGCCAGCACTGGGCTGGGTGCAGGGGCGTGGCACCGCTCAGTGCCACTGTCAGTCACCCACTCATTCCCTAATGGACCTCCAAGTGAGAACGCGTCCATGCAGCGTTCATCTTTATGAGGCCATGGGAACGGATACGCCAGCGGACCAAGATACTTCAGCTTCTCAGCCACCTGGAACCATGTTTCATGAACCTAGACCAAATGTTCGCAGCTGTGATGCTACCCGGGCAGCAAAGTTCAGAGGTTTGTGGTAGCCTCAGGGAAATCTAAAATGTCCCACTTTGCCTAGGCAAGAAATCTGATCCGTGCGTGGCACAGGTACCTGAGGAGTGGGCCACACTGTCAGAGCTCTTCCCAGTATTCTCTCCGGAGGGAGGACAGTTACCCGCGAGTTCTCAGCCCAGAGTCGGGACAGAACCATGGGAGAGCCTCTCACTGATGTGCAGATCCTGTAACAAATGTGCTGCATGGTCTTCAGGTAACGGGACTGCTGGGAAAGGAAGCTGTGGGGTGTGAGGGTCACGCGGGCCCAGCTTCCCTGTGCTTGCCTGCTCTGGGCAGTGGCATGTCACCACTTACTGCAAATGCCCCGCAGTGATGGCAACCAAGGCACAAGTCAGACGGCTGAGTCGTCAGACAAAATCGAAACAATTCCAGGCCAAGTTAGCAAGCTTCTGTCACTGGCCAGCGCCAGAACTCACCTGCCCACGAGATGCTGGCATCACACACTCAGGCCTGCAGCAATCCCCAGGGCACTGCGTGGCGACCCCACGCCAGGCCTGCATGACCAGGCCAGGGGAGCAAACGCAGCAGACAACTCCGGCCCTCCCCCTTAACGGGGCTGTCCTCAGAAGCAAGTCACTTGGTGTCTCTGGGCCCTGGCTAATCTGTAAATATGCTCATTTTACGCCACTATCATCACACATCTTTTATGGGATGCTGGAAAGATCAAATATGAATAGGGTTAGGGAAAGCTCCTTACAAGTGCAACACTAAAATCGTTACACAGAGCTCATCTGTCATTATCCTTGCTTTCTATTTGGATCTCTGTATAAGAAATTGTAGGCCAGCGCCACGGCTCACTAGGCTAATCCTCCGCCTGCGGCACCGGTACCCCAGGTTCTAGTCCCAGTCGGGGCACCGGATTCTGTCCCGGTTGCTCCTCTTCCAGGCCAGCTCTCTGCTGTGGCCCAGGAAGGCAGTGGAGGATGGCCCAAGTGCTTGGGCCCTGCACCCCATGGGAGACCAGGAGGAAGCACCTGGCTCCGTGGCAGCCATTTGGGGGATGAACCAACGGAAGGAAGACCTTTCTTTCTGTCTCTCTCACTGTCTGACTGTCCAAAAAAAAAAAAAGTATTAATCAAGATTCTGGTGGTGAAGTGTGAAGCATCCTGGGGCTGGCAGCAGTGGGGGGCGACTGGCAGCCGCACCTCTGGGTGGCCGGGGGAGCCCAATGCTGTAGCCGGCCCGGCTCAGCCCAGCAGGAGGGCAGCTAGGGAGCCGTCGGCCCCAGCCCCTTCTCCTGCCCTCTGCTTTCCTGCTGGCTGAACCCACCTGGCTGCTAGGGGCCAGCGGTCACAGTGGGTCTGCAGGGGCCACCGGAAGCCCCCCGGGGGGGCTGTTAAAGCGGGTCGCAGCCTCTCCTCTCCTCCGAAGCCACTTGCCATGCCAGTCCTTCCCAGTTTGCTGGTGGCAGAAACACAGGTTCTTTCACACCTGCACGAGCGTCGCACGCTGCTGCTCTAGCGACAACACTGAGGCTGGGTCCTGCCATGCAAGCCGGCCCGGCAGGAACCGGAGCTGCTGTGCTCACATCCTGGAAGGCACCGCCGCAAGCGCACGCCAAGGACCCCGCACGACTTGCAGCGTTTGGAAAGACCCAGCTGCCCTTCGGCACCCATGGCGGGCAGTGAAACCCGAGACCTGCTGATGAGTTGGGAAGATCAAGTCCAACGACTCCAGACTAAAGCCTTCAACGGCTCTGTAGACACACAGGGCTGCCCACGCCCTCCCTGGGACCCCCTCTCCCTGGCCCCCTCCCTCTACCCGTCTCGCCAACATCATCAGTGTCATGGTCATGGTCAGGCTTCCACACAGGGCTTCCTTGGTCAAAGAAGGGTCTTTTAATTTAGCTTTTGTCAAGCTTCAGTTCTTAGAAAAAAAAAGTCTTTTTTTTTTTTCTGTTAAAACAAGCAAAAGATGGTGAGGGGAACTATTCTAAGGAATCCAACAAGAAAAGGGAACAAGTACCTTTTATGAAAAGGACTTCCAAGCTCACTGAGCCCCGAGTTTAACGGAAATATCCTCATGGAACCGTCTCCACGCAAGACACTTAGCACCGCGCCCTAGCAGAGGCGCGGACGGGATCCAGATTCACCCAGCGTCACATACAACACCCTCAGCAGAAGTGGAAGCAAAGCACTCTTTACTCTTTCAGTCAAGTCCAAGGTCCTCCGGGCTGCGTGCTGCTGGGCTAGCTGTAGGAGAAGCAGTAGAGGTCCTGCCCGACGGCCATGAGCAGCCCCGGCGCCCCGCGGAAGCCCCCGAGGCGGGAGGAGAAGGCCACGCTGGGAATGTCGGCCTTGGAGGTGGGGTACGGGGAGGGTATGGTTCTGAGCAGCTGGCCATCGTGCAGGCTCCAGATCCTTGTGTAGCAGTCCTGGCCCACTAGAGAGGGAAGACACATGCAGCAGGTTAGCAAGAGAACACAAAGGAAAACTCAGGCAGCCAGGACACAGCCGCTCACAATTCCTACGGCCAGCAGGGGTCTCGTGCCAGCCATCGGGAAGTGCTTCTACTGTCAACACGCACTCTGATAAAAACCAAAACCATGTGATGCTGCAGGGGCCCCGCGGGTGCGTGTCCTGCTTCTCTTGTGGTCAGCACAGCTTAGGTGGGGGCCCAGCCCACCCAGTCTAGATGACAGGCCACTCATCTTTACCTGCAACAGCAACTAGGACGTCCCAACTTCATTCTACCCCGTGGAAAAGCTGGGCAACATTCCCCACCGCCACCACACGTAGCCCAGGCCCTTCGTGGCCTGGTGGTGCAGCTCCTCGGGACCAGCTGAGGCCCTGAGCGACACGATGCATTATCGGTTCAGGATATGGTTATGGCCACTGGCCTTGTGCTGCAGCAGCAGGAGGGGCCGGGCCTCTGAGACCCCGGATTGCACATCTGTGCTCCTGAGCCCACAGGTGCCACCTGGCTCACCTCTTCTGTTACCCAGCACACAACTCTGCTGTGGCGGCCACTCGCGCATCACCACAGACTAAGGCGGCTCCGTGCTGGTGCCGAGGACAGTGAACAGTCTCAGAAAGGCAACAAACAGGCGCCACCTGCGGTGCCGGCATCCCACATGGGTGCTCCACTTCCGATCCAGCTCTCTGCTATGGCCTGGGAAAGCAGTAAAAGGTGGCCCAAGTGTTTGGGCTCTGCACCCGCGTGGGAGACCGGAAGAAGCTCCTGGCTCCTGATCAGCACAGGTCTGGCTGTTGCGGCCATTTGGGGAGTGAACCAGTGGACAGAGGACCCCTCTCTTCTCTCTGCCTTTCAAATAAATAAATCTTCAAAAATGTAAAAAGCAGATGCTGCTTAGGAAGTAATTACTTTCTACGGTAGTATTAGCAAACTTGAGTACTAATGGCAGGGCCCACTATCTCATGTTTAAAATCTCCATCTCTCAGGCTACCATAATATTCTACAGCACAGAAGCAGTGCAATCTGTAATCAGCCTGTAGCTCTTCCACGGGGCTCAGTGGCTGACAGCCGCTGCCATCCAGCAAGTTGTGGACCCCCATGAGTGGGGCCACGGGAGCAGCCATCGGCAGCTTTACAATGACCCCACTTGAGCACAAAAGAAACTGAGCCCAAGTTCCAACACAAGATCGCTGCCCGCTGCACGAGGGTAACAATACTGGCCCGAGGGACGACCCCAAGCCCAGCCTCCCAGCTGCTAGTTCTTAGTGCACCTCCTCTGTTTCTGAGTGACGTCTGCCCCTGGCATGGGGATGGAGGAATGTCCTAATGCTGGGCAGTCCAACTGTTGCCTTTTATTTTTTTTAAAGATTTATTATTTATTTACTTATTCGAAAGTCAGAGTTACACAGAGAGAGCAGAGGCAGAGAGAAAGGTCTCCCATCTGCTGGTTCACTTCCCAATTAATGGCCAGAGCTGTGCCGACCCAAAGCCAGGAGCCAGGAGCTTCTTCCAGATCTCCCACATGGGTGCAAGGTCCCAATGGCTTGGGCCATCTTCCACTGTTTTCCCAGACCATAGCAGAGAGCTGGATCGAAGTGGAGCGGCCAGGTCTCGAATTGCTGGCCACATGGGATGCCGGCACTGCGGGTGGAGGCTTTACCCGCCACGCCACAGCACTGGCCCCTGTTGCCTCCAATTCCACATCCCGCGTCTCCCCACTCAACCGTCCACACTCCGCCTTTACTCAGCTCTGGCTTAGGGTGACTTCTCCCTCTGCTGCTGAGGTTGCTGGGGCCCTGGGAGCCAGCACGTGTGGGGGTGGAGCCTCCCCTGGCCCGAGTACCTGCCACCACGATTTCCTCCTCCTCATGCACGTGCAGGGGCAGGTAGGCATACTCGTTCACGTGGCCTTTGTACTCCCTCAGACACTTGGTGGTCCTCAGGTCCCACAGCTTGATCTGCGGGGGAAGCACCGGAGGCAGTGAGCGGGCTGGCAGGTGCACTGGTGCAGCCCAGCTGTGAAGCCAAGGAAGCCAAGGGGCCTCCGGTGGCCTCTTCAGGGGATGGAGACCTGCACGTTGGAGTCCATCCAAAGCACGGAACTGGAGGGCCACATCCACTTCTTCAGCCACACTGGGCTCAAGTGGACAGTGAAGGCGCTCCCTAGACAGGCTTGCCTGGCCTGTGTTTTGGGTCCCATGTGGCCATGGCTGGAGAGCTGGTGTCCCTTACCTTTCCAGCCATGTCTGACGCCATCAGGCACTGCTCTTCCTGGAGGATCTGCACTGAGGTCACGGCCGAGTCGTGGAACAGACGGGTGGCCTTCCAGCCACTGCCTTGACCAGGACATCGCACATCAATGCCAAACACCTCCCCGGAACGACAGCCATTGTAGAGCACGGGAGCCTGTGGGAAGAGGGACTGCCTGGCCCTGCCGGTACTCTCCTCCCCTCGGTCAGGCGGCCGTGGAGATGGGCGGTTTGGTTCTCAATGGACTCGGAAGGAAGCTGACTCTTTGTGGCAGGGTGGTGGGAGGACTGGAGCCGCGTGGCCCCCAGCACTTCCTTGCTGGGAGCACACAGGCCCGAGAAGCGGCTCCCGCTGCCGTGAGGCCCCTCTCGGAAGCCCAAACGCCGCAGCTTGTCTCCAGCAGGGGGCAGTGAGCACACAGTGGGCGAGATCAGGGTCCCAGTTAGAGGGGGGATGGGTTGGCTAAGGTGGCCGACTGAGGGACTCCCTGCTTCCTGCCCAAAGCAGGCCAGCACCCTCCCTCCCCCACGCCTTCCAGGGATGGCCACGCTCACTGCAGGGCGCATCTTGCAGTTACAGCTACTGTAACTCTGACTTTTGAACATATAAAATGTACAACCTGAAAGCTACACACGAAACTGTGAAGTGTTGTGAACTGGAACTTAATTTACACATTTTGGAACTAGTCCTGCTGGCCAATCCAAGTACTCAACAACGGCCACTACAGACTTAAACGGGAAGTTCTAGAAAGCCAGCTTAGGAGGCCACCACTTCCACTCAGCTCAGTGGGAGTCAGGAAGCAACGCACTGATCCTCTCCAGCGTTCCTTCTCCCCGGTGAGAGAGGCCACCAAGTCCCAGGGAACTGCGACCTCCTGCCCCACCCAACCAACCAGGAGAGCAAACTGCTGCGCCAGGACGTCACTGTTGGTTCCGTACGACTGCCGGTGCCCCGTCACCACGTTGGTCAGCAGGACCCGCCGAGACAAGCCTGGCGGAGACAGAGCTGGGTCAGTGAGACCAAGGAGAGGGCCGCTGGGTGGACCTCAGGGCCCAGCAGCAGCCGCGGCTCACCGGTACTGAAGCAGTTGTTTGCCTGGATGTTCAGGGACCACGCGCAGGACCAAGCGCCAGGGATGCGGAAACTGCACAGCATGCCAGGCCGCTCCCCTGCCGAGAGAAACAAAGCAGGCTGTCCCTGGGCCACCAGGCCAGTGACCTGTCTGTCCCTACGAGGGCATCAGTGGTCCTGTGAGACCTCAGCCAGAGTGCCTGCTGTCTCGGCACGAGCTGCCCTGTGCTACGGTGCATTAGAGCAATTAGGCACTGACGACATGACAGGGCCGTCCATGCCCCTGACCTCTCAGCCTCTGCAGTCCCACAAAATAAGCCTCTACTGTATACCCTGCCCTGTAGTGACGATACTGTCAGCCGTCAGGGAGGCAGACAGAGTCACAGGTGAGCTGACTGCCAGTCATGAACCACACCGCCAGCCGTGCGAGCTCAGTCAAAGTTTTTAAAAATAAACTTTTGGGGTCAGTGCTCTGGCGTAGGGGGTGAAGCTGCTGCCTGCAGTGCTGGTATCCCATACAGCTGCTGGTCCCAGTGCTGGCTGCTCCACTTCCCATCCAGCTCTCTGCTATGGCCTGGGAAAGCAGTAGAAGATGGGCCAGTCCTTGGGCCCCTGCACCCACGTGGGAGACCCAGAAGCTCCTGGCTCCTGATCAGCCCAGCTCTGGCTGTGTGGCCATCTGGGGAGGGAACCACTGGATGGAAGACCTCTCTGCCTCTCTGTAACTCTGCCTTTCAAATAAATAAATCACAAGAAAAAACAACAACAAAAATAAACTTTCGTGTCAAGTGCAGAGTTCAGGGAGCTGTCGCGGGTGCTAGAAGCCTCCCTCCCCCCCTCAGCTTTCCCAGTTGCCTGTGCACACCTCCCGGTGGCGTGCAGAGAGAAAGGTCTCCCATCCGCTGGTTCCCTCCTCACACTAACGATCTGCGAGGCAAATTCTGAGCCTGGCTTTGCCCCAGGGTCCTTGTCTGCACAAGGGTCACAGGACACCCGCCCTCCGCTCTCCCCGCAGCGGCCTGCCGGGCACTGTGCTGAGGGCCCACAGAGGCCCCGGCACGCATCCCCCGAGGTGAGGCTGGGAAGGGCCGGGCCAGGGGCCAGGTCTGCCTGTGGCCTGCACTCCCAGAGGCTGACTCTTGTCTTACTGATCCCCATCCTCCAAAAGGCTGGAAGCTTCACACCCACAATGCTGCCCGGAAGTAGTCAGAGTGCCCGTCATTACAGCCGTTCAATAGCGGGCTTCTGAATGGCCAGTGCAGGGAGCCCAGATCAACGCTTTGTTGATCTCTGCGTTGATGGATTCTCTCTCTCTCTCTCTCTCTCACACACACACACACACACACACACTTTGCTGTGTTCTGGTTGCTACAATGACCCAACAGGGGTAAGAGGAGGGGGCACGGAACAGCTCCTGGCGCCCAGCCCAGGGCAGGCTTAGGGAGCCCTCCCCCAGGGCTTCTGCACGGCGGCCCTGTCCCCTCCCTTGCAGCTGTGCTCATGCAGCCAGGCGCCTCCCCCAGAGCAGCGGCTTTTGTCAGAGCAAAGGGCCCCGTACCTGGGTGACTGCTGACAAACAGTGACGCCGGGAGTAGCGTGGCACAGCCCGGAGTCTCCGCAAGCCCCATGAGGCAGAGCCTGGACGGAGGTGTTAAGGACAGTCAGGTGCAAGGCTTTCCCCGGGGCGGAGAGCGGGCGCGGGGACCCTTCAGGAAATGACAGACTCACAAAAGGACAGAAGACAGACACCCTGCACCCAGATGGACCTCGCCTGCAGCTCGCACACTCAGAACACCACGGCTCAGTTACAAGGTCTCTGGCCCTTCCCGGTCCAGTTCTGCCTTCTCCTCCACCCAGACAGAACTGGTGCTCTAAGAACAGGGCAAGTTCTTCTGGGCCACGTCACGACACTTCCTCCACAGAGGGTGCCTGGCCATCAGTAACTCGGGATTTACTTTATTTATTTGAAAGGCAGAGTTAGAGAGAGAGAAAGAATGAGACAGAGAGAGGAAGGGAGGGAGGGGGAGACAGATGGAGACAGATGTAGGTCTTTCATCCACCTTGTTTTTAAAACAGAGAAAAGGCAGCATGAAGTCTTCTCCAACTTCCTGGGCTCCGCATGTGGCTCCAGGTCACTCCTTGCCATCACGGGACTCCTTCTAGGAGTATACGACGACACATCTAACATCTGGCTGACGGCACCTGGGCTCTGCTCCCTGTCTCCCCGCCACGTGCTGGTGCTCTCTAAGGCAGCGGCTCTCTACCCACAGCCTGCGTTTCACATAAGCACGCACCCAAATCCATGAGGCAAATGTTCCACACGACCTCTGCCCTGACCCTAAATATGCAACTCTCCTCTGGGGACCGAACCAGCAGATGCAGGACCCCTTCTCTCTGTAACTCTTTCAAATAAGTACATCTTTAAACAATAAATACAAATACAAATACTATTTCCTAGTCTGGTTCATGAAACAAAATGCAGCCCCCAAAATCGACTTCATGGCTCACTGATGAGTTACGACCTCAGCCCGAAAATGCTGCCCTGGCGTCTACAGCAAGGGTGGAATTCCAGGGCCACAGAGATGGACACCTGCAGCTTCGAAGTGTTTGTATGTGATTACTTACACCAGCAGCTTTCTTGGTTTTCCACCTCGCCCTTAAAGTTTGCTTATCTTTGGAAAAAAAAAAAAAAAAAAAAAAAGATCTGCAAGACATAACGAGAGAGAGAGAGAGAGAGAGAGAATCTTCCATCCAATGGTTCACTCCCCAGATAGCCAGGAACCATGGCTGTGCCTGGCTGAAGCCAGGCGCTGCATCCGGGTTTCTCACATGGGTGGCAGAGACCCAGGCACCACTTGGATCATCTTCTGCTGCCTGATCCAGGAAGTTTGCAGGGAGCTGGCTTGGAAGTGGAGCAGCCAGGACATGAACTGGTGCCCACATGGGGTGCCATGTTGCAGGCAAAAGCTTCACCTGCTGCACCTCAATGGCAGCCCCCAATTTTTGCTTATCGTGAGGGGTTATAAAACGACATGGCAGAGGCAGGCACTTGGCACACAGGTTATCTGCAGCTTTAGATACCCATGTCCCCTACCAGAGTACCCCGAGTTCATGTTCGGTTCTGCTTTCCATTCCAGCTTCCTGATGAGCACCCTAGGAGGCAGCAGGTGACAGCTACAGGACTTGGGTCCCTGCCACCCATGTGGGAGACCTGAACGGAATTCCAGACTCCTGGCTTAGCCTGGCCCAGCCCCGGTTGCTGTGGGCATTTAGGGGAGTGAGCCAATGGACGAAAGATCTGTCTCTCTGCCTTTCAACAGGAAATCCTAAAAAAATTAACATCTCAAGACTGAATTTGGATTCCCCTGACTACAAGCAGGTGTACCTATTGCAACGATGAAATCACTTGGGGTTTCTTCTCTTTGAATTCCCTCTTTATACCCTTGCCTACCTGTTCCTGGTTTGATTCCTCTCCCTTTCCCTTCCCCACTGAGCTTCTCTCCAGAGGGGCCTGTGCTCAGCCCCACTTCCTCACCTTTCTTTCACTGTTCAGCCCAGTGGCTGCTTCTCACAGTCACGACTGAGGTCCATGTTTCAGCTGTGCCCTGTGGCCGTGTTGCCTGTTTCCAACCGCACATGCCCCCGACTTCCAGCCTGCCTCCCTCCCAGAGTTCTATTGTTGGACCTTCTCCTGTCACCAAATGCTTGCCATGGCTACGGTTGGGCCAGGTGAAGCCAGAAGCTAGGAACTCAGTCTAGGTCTTCCCCACATGGGTGGCAGGAACCCAATTACTTGAGCCATCACCCCTGCATCCTAGGTTCTGCGTTAATAGGAACTGGAGCCAGAAACCAGAGCTGGGCATCAAACCCAGGCACTGCTGTGGGTCAGGGGTGTCTACCTGTCCCCTTAAATGAAGTGCATGACCACATCACTAATGTACCTCAGGCTTTCAAACCCTCTGAAACGGAGTGCTGTGAAGCAAGTGAAACGTTTCTGACTCAGCCGTCATCTGTGTACTAGCAACTGAGGGAAGCGCGTTCACAGTTAACTAATGGTAAACTCAGGCAATGCAGGCGGTCAGCGTTCAGTGCAGTTTCCCGAACTCATTTATTACGGGAATGGGCTAAGGACAAGAGCCACGTACACGTGGCTTTGGCTTTTAGATCAAACAAATCCTGTGCAGCAAAGGAGCCCCTCAGAGTTCCAGAGGACAGGCCCATTCCCCACAGTACTGTGCTCCTGGCAACCTCCCCCATGCCCACCTTGAACGAGGGAGGTAAGGCGAGCTCTCAGAAGGCCATCAATTGCTGGAAGGAGCCTCAGCGCTGGGGCCCACAGTGCTTTCCCCCTTGGCCTTAGGAGGATTCGGGGCTCCATCCCAAGGCTGTACTGCTCCCTTCTGCCGTCTCTCTCTGCTAAAGCACCAATTCACAGGTGTGGGTGCTGGGCCCGTCCAGAGACCCAAGGCCTGATGCCACATGCTATAGTGGCAGAGAAGGCTCAGGGGCCAGACTGCCTGGGTCCTCACCCTGTCTCTACCACTTGCATGTGAAGTTTCAGAACAACGTTTGGCACTCAGAGGCATTAGCATCATCCTAAGAGACAGCCACCACCCACGGAGCCTCGACGGCTTCGCTGTGCTGCAGGATCGGCTCTGACCCGCAGAGGGTGACACTGGAGGGTGACAACCAGTGCGGAATGGCCCGGCCCCCGCCACCAAGAGGCCATCTCACAAGGGCAGGATGCCCGGGTCCACACGAAGGCATGGCTGCCCCCCGCCTATCTCCATCTGCCAAAGGATACAGGATGTGGGAATCCAGGTGATTGAGCGAGGCCCAGCACACGGAGTTCACCTGGTGAGGAAGCACATGGCAGGATGGAGAAAAACGGGAAAATGCCTAGGAAATGGCCTGGGGGAGACACACATGCACCCTTTTTCTTCGGGCCTCACTGCTCTTAAAATGGGCCGATCTCCTCGCCCTGCTAGTCAGGGAGGTCACTGGCGAGGGCCCCACAGTGAGGCATCTGGTAGCCCCTGTGGACCCAGCTGAATCCTCCACACTGGCAGGGACGAAGCTTCCTCCTTCACTCAGACACCACTCAACTGACATCCATCTCTCTTTTAAAGAAAAATTTATTAAAAAATTTCAGACTTACAATGGATACATATACACCAAACCTCCCTGAACTCTACCAAAAGGAAAAAGAACCCTGACAATGAGGAGACCCCTTCAATCAGCAGGGAGAACTTTACGGGCCATTCTAGCAGTCCCAGGCACTGCACTTCCACTTGGAGTTAGTACTGCCAGGGTTGACACTTGGGCCTCAGAGACTCGCTCTCTCCCAACCTATAACCATCACCATCTTCAGTGTTTGTGGCTGGCTTTCTCTCACTTCACTTCCCCCACCTCTTGGGAAACTCTGACATTAATAATAATTATGTTCACCCTAGCAGTACCTAGTTCAGACAGGAGATCTAATCAAAAGGAAAACAAGGGATCAGTTCGTCTGGTCTACGCTGCGGCTCACGACCCAGGTGCTCTGAAGGACGCAGCTTCTGGATGCAGCAATCATCCTGGGGCGACTGAAACGTTGCTCCTGTGACAGCGAGCTTCTGCCATTGCTTTACAGCTGCGCTGGCCACAGGCCCACTGATGTCCTGATGCCCAGGAGCTGACTGCTCCATCAGGCCACGGTCAGTGCGGCCCAGGACCCCGAGCCCTGGTAGGGGCCTCTGGATGAACTCCTGAGCCTTGGAGGGAGCGTCCTTTCACCTGGCTAAAGCAGCACTGCCTCAGCCCAGCCCAACTCTCTCCATTATCTTGTCTTCCAAAACAAGAAACACCCTAGGGTCCTCACCCCCACCCCACATGGGCTCTCAGAGGTAAAAATCCTTTTGCCCCACGAGAGCACACATGCTCCTCTCCCCTCTCTCTCTGCAGTGTCCTGGATGAAAAGGCACAGTGGGCTCAGGGCTACAGAGGGGACGACGCACCTTACGGTTGGTGAAGTAGAGGTTTTCGTGCATGTGCACCTGCAGCGTGGGCATCTTCAGACCGCGCAGGCTGATGATGCCATACTTGGAGCCTCCGACTCTGACGTCATTAACAGTGAAGAGCCGGCTACTATTGGTATCCGCCTGGAGGGGGAAGTGGGCACGGATGACCTGCCAGGTTTGAGCCAGCAAGGCTGCCACAGACTACCTGGCCCCTCTCCCACGCTCTGTGTACTTTCCACAGGTGAGAACTTGTGTTCACAAGGAAGAATGGAGCCATCCCTGAGCAAAGCTAACAGGTGTCTCGGGTCTACCAACTCGGGAGTAGGAACGAGGACAACACAGAGGGGGCTTAGCCAGGAAGGGTGAGTTCTGCAGTGACCCCTCCCTCAGAACTGGGTTTGGAAGTCTCAGTATCAGCCCGGAGGAATGCACCACGAGGCCATCACGAAAGTGATGCAGCAATAGGGAGGAGGCTAGTGGTAACTGCTAAGACAGGAGGACACAGACCTGTCTTCCTGCACCACAGGCAGCGAGACTGCCACAGGAGAAAGAAACAGTGCACTGACTAGGAAGTAGACAGAGCAGGCTGCATTACGGGTGGGACTACTTTTAAGACTTTTTGCCTGGGTTCCAATCCCAGCCATGGCTCTTGGTTCCAGCTTCCTGCTAATGCACACCCCAGGAGGCAGCAGGTGATGATTGAATTAGCTTGGTGACCTGGGAGACCTGGACTGAACCCCCAGCTTCTGGCTTTGACCTGGCCTGGAACTGGCCACTGCAGGCATCTGGGTGGTGAAGTAGCTGATGAGAGCTTTCTCTGTTTACCTGTCTCTCTTGGTCTCTTGATCAAGTAAATAAAATTTAAAAAGTAGTTAAAATGACTTCAAAGCAAAAACTACATGCTTATGTATTTTAAACATATTAACACGGAGACATATGCATGGGTTTGGATGCTGGTAAAACTGTACTGACTACAAAATGACTTGGGAAGAACAGCTGTGTTCCTGAAGTGTCACTACCAGTGTGGAGAACCCAGTCTCAACACTGCTTTCCGGGTGGCAAGCTGCCTTTCCCAGCCCTCTGGTCCCACCAGCCAGCCCGTCTACTGCACTGTTGGGTGCTGGGGAGGATCTGCCAAGGGCCCCACACAGCTTTCAAAGTGAGACAAGCATGAGGACTGGGGCTCAGGCTTAAATGAGCAGCACAAGCATCATTAGACCCCATATACCGACTTCCCTGGTTCCTACCTGGTGTGCCCTGGAGAAGGAGCTCTGGAGGGGAATCCACTATGAGAAAATAAACTACTGGGGGCCAGCGCTGTGGCACAGCAGGTAAAGCCTCTGCCTGCAATGCCGACATCCCATATGGGCGCTGGTTGAGACCTGGTGGCTCCACTTCCGATCCAGCTATCTGTTATGGCCTGCGGAAGCAGTAGAGGATGGCCCAAGTCCTTGGGCCCCTGCACCTGCATGGGAGACTTGGAGGAAGCTCCTGGCTCCTGGCTTCAGATCAGCACAGCTCTGGCCGTTGTGGCCAATAGCGGAGTGAACCAACGGATGGAAGACCTTTCTCTCTTTCTCTGCATCTCCTTCTCTCTGTGTGTAATTATGACTTTCAAATCAATCAATCAATCTTTAAAAAGAAAGTATACTACCAACTCATGTCAAACTCTATGCCCCAAACAGAGGGCAAGGCCGCAGCAGAGAGCCTGGGCCCTGGTGCAGCACTGCACAGGGAAGGCTCTGATGTGGTGGTCTCCTGGGGCAAAAGGACCCAGCACCAAGCTCCAGGGCTGGCCCTGGCATTAGCTGCAGTCCCGCCAGCAGAGCACCGTAGAATTTTGTGTCCTTCTCACTCGCCCTAGCCTTTCCCTCGGCCTCCAGGACGGGCCTGCCAGGCTGCCCGGGTCCTCATGGGTCCATGCACAGACGAGGCTCCCCTCCCTTGTAGTGGACCTCCTAGCTCTCTGCCTACACTTCCCTCGCCCGGGGCTCCTGCAGCCCAGATCTAACCAAAAGCAGACTCTGAGCTCCCTGCAAATGCTGTGAGGGAGGTAAGCAGACAGGCAGGCCCCTGCCACCCAGGCTGGGGTCAGAAAGCCAGGGAGCCAGACCCTGTTCCTCCTGGGGCACACGAGCTTCAGGCTCGGCCACCGAACCCTGCTCTGGAGAAGGAAGGGTTACAAGTCCCCTGGCTACCGGTGCCTTTTCAGTTCTATACGTGACACAAACAAGCAGTTCTCTTGTAATGGCTCTTCCTCAGCGTGCAGCCAGGCCTACTCCAAGGTTGAATGAGGTGGGAGTGGTGCTGGACACAGCAGGCATCTTCCCCCAGGGTTAAGTGGGTTATAATCACAAAACCACGAGCCAGCTTTGCTAGCTTCCACTGCAACCAGCTTCGGCCCAGCCAGGCTTTCCACCAGTGCTAGGCCACAAGGTGCCCCGGGGACGGAGCCACATGCTGGTATCCACACAGCCCCTCGCACTCACCAGGATGAGGTTAAATCGGTCGCTCGCCAAAGCAGAGGGATCCGAGCTGCGGATGTGGACCTTCTTCCTCTGCATGCAGCTCAGTCGCAGCTCGTGGGCCAAACTGCAGAGAGACGGGCCGCAGCTAGACCCCGCCCAGCCGGCGCAGGGGCTTGCGTCCTTCCCGCCCCGATGCCACCTCTCCACAGTGCTTCTCAGAGCGGAGCTGAGCAAGACTCCCTCACAGGAGGGACACGCAGTGCCTGGCCTGCCACTCCGGGTGGCGCTGGTCCCCGCGGAGGGCTGAGCCTGGGAAGCCACTTCCCACACAGGTGGGAGGCAGCAGACTGCAGGCCTCAGCAGCTCAGGTGCTGGCGTCTCGCAGAGCCCACCTGAGGGATTCATCTCAAGCAAGTCGCTCCACCGTGAGCCACGGCCTCTAATAACAGGGGGAAGTGTCACCCACCCCACGGGGTTTTATTTAGAATCGTACCAGACATCACAACCGTATGATCAGGTTTAGTACTTGCACTCGCACTGAATGCCCCTGGAGGAGGAGCTGGAGGGCCTCCACCACTGATCACCAGGAAGAGTAAACATCGGCGTTTCCGGCTCCCCCTGCCCCACCCCCCAAGTTCCCAGGGCCAGGGAAGCAGAAGGCAGGCTGCCACTTGGAGCCCCAGCTATGCGGACACCTGGTGGAGCAGTCAGTCCCCATGGATGTGCCTGGTCCGGGTGCGATCCTGGACCGTGGAAGTAAGAGACGGGACGGGAAAGAACATTCATGAAGAAAACCTAACAGTGAGGCATTGTCTTACCGGCAGTAACTGGTGACACTGAGAAAACCCAGCTGGCGTTTTTGTAGGAAGGAAGATGTATTGAATCCCTTTCTGGGTACTTTCTAAGATTAAAGAAAAAGAAATTCAATGAGGATTTATTTAGGTTATGGGATTAACGGAGATGTTTTCATTCCATAGGGTATGATGAAGGAAACAGGTGCTACTCTCAGGAATTACAGGCCCCAACATCTAGCAAAGCGTGCTCTGTAAGTCTCCTTGGGCACAAAGTCCAGCCTGGGAAGGCACACAAGGGGCGGAACCTGCTCTGCACCGCTGTCCAAGCCTCCCAGGGATTTGTGCCTGGGAAGATGATGCCACTACCACTGGACACTCGGGGCTGTGTTGTGTTCTTGCTTCATCCACACCGACAGCCACCCCCAGAGCACATGCTCCATCCAGCTGCCACAACCAGCATGGTGACCTGGCATGCCAGTCACACACCTGGTCTACTAGCAGGCATCACTGTACCACCCCCTCTACTGCCAGGGTTATCACACACCTGGTCTACTAGCAGGCATCACTGTACTACCCCATGCTACTCCCAGGGTTATCACACACCTGGTCTACTAGCAGGCATCACTGTACTACCCCCTCTACTCCCAGGGTTATCACACACCTGGTCTACTAGCAGGCATCACTGTACTACCCCCTGCTGCCTGCCAGGGTTCCCGTGGGGAAGGACAAAGTGGCAGAGCTGCTGCTGGAACCCAGCACACAGGAAGGAGGGGTGGGGGTAGGGCAGGAGCCTTCTGGCCGCTTTATCTCTCCATCGTCTTCCTGCTGGGGAGACTCTGGGCCACACTCCCTGAGCACCTGCACTAAGCACACAGATGGGACTGGCAAGGGCAGGGGAGCGGCGGCCAGGAGCAGAGCCCACCTTTTCCTGCTTGTCGTCTTCCTGGAGCAGCTGCAGCCGTCTGCTCTCCATTTCCTTCTGGCGGATGCCCTCCATTGTGAGGGGGTTGCAATTGTTATGTCCTGGGAGCAGGCGGAAGTAGCGGTTCTTTTCAGGGTCGTAGTAAAACCCTGGCAGCTCTTTCAAGAGAACAATGAAATGAAATTTACCAAGGTAAAACACTGCAGGTTGGGGCCGGTGTTGTGGTGTAGAGGGTACAAGCCGCCGCCGGCAGCACCAACATCCCATGGCCAGTTCACGTCCCAGCTGCTCCACTCCTGATCCAGCTCCCTGCCAAAGCCTGGGAAAGCAGCAGAGGATGGCCGAAGTGCTAGGGGCCCTGCCACCTACGTAGGAGACCTGGAAAAGCTCCTGGCTCCTGCCTTTGCCTTGGCCCAGTCCTGGCCATTGTAGCCATTTGGGGGGTTAATCAGCAGATGGAAGAATTCTAAAACTGCCTTTCAAATAAATAAAATAAATCTTAAAAAACAAAACCCAAAACAAACCAACCACAGTGGGCTGACCCACCTAGAAGATGCCAGGCGCCTGCTGCCTGTCTTCCTCATGGGCCCCGGGACCCAGCTCTGCCCTGGTGGAGACCATCTGCTTCAGGACCTCAATTCCTGACACACCCGGCTCCTTCCTTTCATTTGTTCACTGAATTCCCATCAGGCCAGGAACGGGGTGGTGACCCCATGTAAGTGAGTAGACAGAGACCCACGTCCCAACCGTGGCTGAAGGGCTACCAGGAGAGACACCAGCAGCTGACAAGGCGGGATTCGGTTCCACACCTCCCCACGGGTAAGGGCTAGGGCAGCCCCAGCCAGCGCACTACCTTACCTGGCACAGAACTCCCAGCCGAGGTGGACGAGGTGGACGAGGTGGACGAGGTGGACGAGGTGGATGGGGATGCGGCATCATCGGGGCCAGGGTCTGGTGGGCTCTCCAGGGTCCCCTGGTGCACCCTGTCAACACAAGGGAGGCTACCTCACAGGGGAGGGCCTGAGCGCCTCCTTGGCAAGCCCAGTTCTGCGGCCCTTACCTGTGCCCCTCCAAGCTTTGATTCCTTGGGGAGCACTGACCCATTGCAAAGGCACCACGAGGGAGCTGAGCATGGGTTTCTCCTGCTGTCCTGCTGACGCGGATGTGTACCACAGTAATGCTCTTGCCGCCGCACTTGAGCATTTTGTAAGATCTTTTGGAATTTTCCAGATCAAAAGGAGAACAGAAATCTATGCCAATAATAGTTTTACCATCTGGGCCCCTTGTCAGCCCAAAGCAGTTACAAGGCCAGATGAACGTCATTCTTTACTGGATCCAGAAGTGCTAGGAGTTTAAATTTTACTTGGTTACCCAGCCTTATAGTACAGACAATGGCGTTTGGGAACAGAGGTAGTTTGCTCAGTTACTCTGGGACAGAGCCACAGTTAAAATGCTGGATTTAGGCCAGCGCCGCGGCTCACTAGGCTAATCTCGCTCTAGATGCCGCCCGGACACCCCGGTTTCTATTTCCCGGTCGGGGCACACAAGATTTCTGTTCTCCGGTTGCCCCTTCTTTCAAGCCAAGCCCTTCTCTTTGGCAGGGGAGATGCAATTGGAGGGATGGCCACGGTGCCTTGGGCCCCGCCCCCCCATGAGAGACCAGGAAAAGCACCTGGCTCCTGGCTCCTGCCATCGGATCAGCGCAGTGCGCCGGCCGCAGCGCGCCGGCTGCGGCGGCCATTGGAACCAACCGGCAAAGGGAAGGCCTTTCTTTCTGTCTCTCTCTCTCACTGTCCACTCTGCCGTTCAAAAAAAAAAAAAAAAAAAAACAAAAAACAAAACCCCGGCTGGATTTTAAAAAGCCCCCCCTTCCCCCCTTTTGGGGAGGGTGAAAAAATAATGTTGTGAAAAACAAAAGGGGCCCTCCGGGCCAAAAAAAAAAAACTTTAATGAAAAAAAAATGTTTTTTTACCCCTCTCCTTTCTTTCCTACCCCCCCTGAAAAAAACACCAAAAAAAGGAAGAAAAACCAACCCAACCAAACTGACGGATGAAATGAAAGTATTTTCTTTCTTCCATAAACACTGATGCTACGCAGCATTTCAGGGAAAACCGTCTATTCCCCTGCCACAGCACACTCAGCCCGTGCAGCCTGTCTGCAAGGGGCTGCAGGAGGGATTCCGTGTCATGAGCAACGTGCACGTTTCCAGGCTGAGGCCCACCGCTCCGTTCTCACCCTGGGCCCAGAAGGCCACTGTCCAGCAGGTTTCTAAGACATTCCACTAAAGCTGGGCCAGGACACGCTTCTTGTGCAGGTCACATTTTGCTCCATGTTCTGCTCTTGTGTGAAGGCCTGGAGCCCACAAAGTAGCCATGGTTCTCCTTCCAAACACACAAACGTTGGGCCCTGTCCTGATCTTCCTACAGTGTGGGTCAAGTCTGGGAATCTGCACCCACTGAGACACATGGCACACTGACGGTCTACTCAGAGCCAGGCGGCCTGGGAAGGGGGTCCCACACATCACCTCCAGAGGACTTGGCCTGCTCTGTACAGGCAGCAAACAGGACTCACAACCAGACCTCCTCGTTCTAAAGTCCTGTTCTTTCCACCTTTTTGTTCCTATTTGGGTCTATCTGTTTCTTTTCTTTTTTTTAAATTTATGTGAAATGTGTAGAGTGAGAGAGAGAGAGTCTTGAGATCTTCTATTCCCCCAAATGCCCGCAACAGCCTGAAGCCAAGGGCCAGGAACTCCATCCTGCCCTTTCACGCGGGTGGCAGGGGCCCGGGCAACTGAGCAGCATCCGCTGCCTTCCCCAGTGCATGAGCAGGAAGCCGGACTGAAAGCACAGCAGCCAGAACAGGGACTGGCGTGCCAATATGGAGCGCCGGTGTCACCAGCAGCAGCTTAACCTGCTCGGTCACAACGCTGGCCCCACTCTTTCCCTCCTATTTTATTTATTTGAAAGGAACAGACACAGAGACAGACATGGGCAGATCTCCCATCTGCTGGTTCACTCCCTGGTAAGGGCGCAGCAGAACTTGTCTCCTCAAACTCGAGCAGACGTTTAAACCCCAATGCTTTAATGTTAATGCTTGATTGAGGTAGAGACTTCCTCTACTGATAGCATCTGAGATGATGGGGCTGGTGGGAAGGCCCTGGGTCTCGGGGGCGTGCCCTGGAGGGTGGTTCTCCTGAGAGGTTTGATATTTGAGCTCAACTTCCGCCTAGAAGCTCTCTCTCTCTCCTTCGTGGCTCACCGTGCGATCATGCCTAGTACCCGCCATGAGCAGCCTCCATCAGAAGCCCGACTATGGGGCTGCCCCATCCTGTAACCTTCAACTGTAAGCTGAAATAAATTTTTATGTCCTCAGGTGTTTTAGTTAAAGTAATGACAAGTGGGAAAATACACTCCCCAAGTGCCCATGGCAGCCAGGGCGGGGCAGGCTGAAGTCAGAAGCCAGAACTTCACGGGGTCTCCCACGTAGTGGCAGGAATCGTGCCAGCTGAGCCGTCACCTGTTGTCTCCTGTGGTGTGCATTAACAGTAAGACAGACTTGGGAGCGGAGCCAGGATTTCAACCCAGGTACGTGCATCTGGGACGCAGGTGCTCCAACTGCTAAACACCTGCCCCGGTTAAAGCTGTTCCAGAGAAGCATCTTGGCGTTTGACTGTTTCGGCTCCAGCACTCGCACCTGTCCATTCTCACAGGAGGCCTGTTTTTTGGAAGAGTTTGGATATTGGCACAAGTGACCTCTTTGGTGACGAGGAGTGTGCAAAACTGAGGGCTGTTCAGGCTCTCTGTGGCCAGAGACACAACAGCACCTCCCTTGTGAGGGTTCTCTGTTGAGATGAAATCATTTGTACCTGCCTCATGCAGAAAAACTGGCAGAATCTGGAACACGTTTATACCAGGGACTTTGATGGACATATCACCTGGGTTTTATTTTTCAAGCTGGTGAGTGGGTACACGGCTTTCAGTATTGCCATACACAGTATATACACTTCTGTGAACATCAGACACTGTATTTTATATATTAACATATATTCATATACCAAACACAAGTTATATATTACATGAAACCATATAAATGCATTTACATGTCCTTTTTCAGGACTTAGGCTGAACTAATGAAATTTAAGTTCCAGAAAGATACCTTCATTGGATGAAAAAAAGAAAAATCAACAAAATGAAGCAGCAGGTCTCCAGTGGTACCAGATGTGCGCCTGCAGCCTCAGAGCCAGTGCTTGGCTGAGAGTTGCTTAGTCACGCTGTGCTACTCAGCACGGGCACTCAGCAGCAGCCACAGGCCCTGGGAGCTACCGGAAACTCCTCAGGCCCCAGCTCGGACCCACGGAGTCAGAGTCTGCATTCTGACGAGACCCCCAGTGATCCCCACGCTCTACTGGATGCTGAAACATCACTTGCCTCTCGTTCAACTCCTGTTGTCTCAGCCAAGGATTGCGTGGGTGTCGGCTTCTCCCATGTTTCTTCTTACGCTGCCAGCTGCTTCTATTCATTTCTGTTCCTAGAAGACAAAGACAGCACCCCGGTGTGCACGTTCGCTAGCTGCCTCTTGAAGCTCAGGCGGGTTAGCACCCAGGCCGCAGCGGTAAAGGGCTCCTGCCACACTTGCCCCACAGCCTTCCCCACTCCCTTCTTGGGACCCCGTGGTAGCTGGTGTGGTTCCCTGTCCTGCAGGCGTGAACACCCTTCTTCCCGGCCCACGCCCCCACGCACTCCGCAAGTACCCGTCCTTAGTCTTCCTGTTTTCCCTCGTGTGCTGGGCAACAGGTGACCCAGCACGTTGTCCAGGTGAGCTCATCCCACCTGCCCCCTGCCCTTCCCAGGACTCTGCAGACAGCTCCTGCCACGTATGTTTAACGTCTCCAGCTCCTTAACTCAGCTTAGAAACACATCCGGGCTTTCTATCTGTGCTCCAGCACCAATCCAAAGGAGCACAAATTCTGCCTTCATTTCCCAACATTCCCCGGTCCTTTGGCCTCACCTGCCTGCTAAGAGAGGCTCTTTTTTTTTGACAGGCAGAGTGGACAGTGAGAGAGAGACAGAGAGAAAGGTCTTCCTTTGCCTGTTGGTTCACCCTCCAATGGCCACCACGGCTGGCGCGCTGCGGCTGGCGCACCGCGCTGATCTGATGGCAGGAGTCAGGTGCTTCTCCTGGTCTCCCATGGGGTGCAGGGCCCAAGCACCTGGGCCATCCTCCACTGCCCTCCTGGGCCACAGCAGAGAGCTGGCCTGGAAGAGGGGCAACCGGGACAGAATCCGGCGCCCCGACCAGGACTAGAACCCGGTGTGCCGGCGCGGCTAGGTGGAGGATTAGCCTAGTGAGCCGCGGCGCCGGCCAAGAGAGGCTCTTAATGAAGCACACCAACGAGCACCTACTTGCCAGCTGCCTCCGTTCCTGTGACACGCGGCATCGCCACACTTCACTATTTCTTCAGCTTCTGCACTGTCTTCCTCTTGGCTTTACTCTTACTTGTCAAATCAGTCCTTTGCTGTTTCTCCTGGTCGTGCACCCTGTGGATGCTTTCCATATTCTGTCCCAGCTCTTCCTGTCACACCTGACTCCACCTCAGCCACCAACATATAGGTTCATTCCCATTCCCAGCAAGCCCCAGCACGAAGTCCCTACACAGCTGCCCCTGACCCCTGTGCCGAGTTCTGTACCTGGCTCCATTCGGACTCCAGCTTCCTGCTAAAGCAGACCATGGGAAGCCGCAGTGACAGCTCAAGTAACTGGAGCAGATGGGAGCTCCCTGTCTACCTCTCTCACACATACATAGCTAAAGTAACTGCTGTGTGCTGATTTGGCCAGGGAGAACATTTCTATTAAATCGCCAACTCACACCTGCAAAGGTTCAGGTGCTTGCTACAGTAGAATAAGGTAGGCCAACACCAACTGAGCTATGAGCAAGATCAAGCCAAAATCATTTTTAAAAGCCCCATGGGTAGAGGCCTTGCAAATACAGAAAGGGTTTAAAAACTAAGTTTTCAGTAGCTTTAAGAATCTTTTTCAAGACATAGCAGGCTAAGGCTCCGCCTGCACTGCTGGCATCCCATATGGGTGCCGGTTTGAGATCCAGCTGCTCCACTTTCAATCCAGTTCTCTGCAGTGGCCTAGGAGAGCAGGGGATGTTGGCCCAAGTGCTTGGGCCCTTGCACCTGTGTGGGAGACCTGGAAGAAGCTCCTGGCTCCTGGCCTGGATTGGCTTAGCTCTGGCCATTGTGGCCATCTGGGAAGTGATCCAGCGCAATGGAAGACCTTCCTGTCTCCCCATCTCTCTGTAGCTCTCTCAAATAAATAAAAAATCTTAAAAAAAAATCTTTCCCCACACACAGGTGCAGCCGCATCTCACCACGGACATATGCGCTGGTCACCCGGCATTTGGCTGCTTATGCCCCCGTCTCACACTAAATGGGGTGTGAATTCTCTGAGGCAAGGATCCAGTCCTTTTTTCTAATCCTGCACCCATGGCCTAGCTGGCTCTCTGTAAACTGTGTTAACTAAAACAACAAACCCACAGCTACTTTAAATCCCAGTGAGCTGTCTTCTGCGCAGGGCATTTTCCTGGACTACTCGACACACATTTACAGAGTGCCTACTCCACGTCGGCCACTGGGCTAAGCAGGGGTAAATACGCCGTGGTGTCCAGACTCGTGGCCCTGTTTAGTAGGCGAGCCAGATGCATAGACCACTTCCTGCTGTGCAGGGTGAGGTGAGGGCCCAGGCCTCTCGAGGATTAGAGGACAAAAGGGAGTGGCTGCTCTGGGTAGACAGGCCACAGAGGTGAGGGAGAGGCTGAAGTGTGGTCAGACAAGGTGCTGGGGGCGGGGCCTCAGGCAGCTTGATATGGTCAAAACCTGAGGTAGAGGGGAGGGGCGAGCTGGACGGGCAGCAGGGCTGGATCATGAGGACGGTGGGTGCGAGGCAGTGGCACGGTTAGGCCTGCCTGGACAGGACACAGCACAGGCGATGCGAGGTGAGAGGTGAGAGGTAAGGGGTGCTGTAGCAGCCCAGGTGAGCTGCACTCACACTCACACTATGGAAGGGGTTCTGGAAAAAGAGGGCTTGAATTTACTTTTTAAGAATGTATTGATTTCTTCTATCTGCAGGTTCACTCTCCAAATGGCCACAACAGCTGCGGCTGGGCCAGGCTGAAGCCAGGAGCTAGACAGTCCATCCTGGTCTCCCACATGGGTGGCAGGGGCCCAAGTGCCCGGGCCATCACTTACTGCCTTCCCAGGCACATACGCAGGAAGCGGAATAAGAAGCAGAGCACCAGGATTTGAACCGGCGCTCTGATCTGATATGCCAGACTCACAAACAGTAGCTTAATACATAATGCACTGAAGGATCTCTGTGAGACCCCAGGGGAAAGAAGGGGCCATCAAAGAAGGAGGTACCTTTCTCTGAAGGGAGGAGAGAACTTCCACTTTGCTTATGGCCCTGTCTAAATACTGACAGAGTCTGTGGACTCAAAAGGCTTCCATAGCCTTGCAGCTCATGTCAAGAGCCTCGGGTGATCACTGACGTCATAAATAAGAGTGTCAATTGCTAAATCAACAACGGGAGTCACTGTGCACTTGCTCCCCATGTAGGATCTCTGTCCTTAGTGAGTGGTACTGTGAGAATTAACTGTAAAACTTGTCTTCAAACAGTACTTTATACTTTGTGTGTCTGCAAACTGTAGACATCTTTACTTAGTACAGAGTTAGTCTTCTGTATATAAAGTTAATTAAAGACAAAGCTTAATTAAGAATGGGATCGGAGAGGGAGTGGGAGGTGGGACAGGAGTGGGGATGAAAGGGCAGGTATAGGGGGAAGAACCGCTATATCTCTAAAGCTATACTTATGAAATTTGTATTTATTTAATAAACACTTTCTAAATATATACATATATATTTATAAAATGCACAGTATGTATTTGCTTGAACTTGGGAACATTTAGGAAGTGAACTTCATGGGAGAGGTAGAAAGAGGGGCTGAGAATGGATAAATAATTGTTAGTGTCAGGTACTGGAGGAACAAGAATAAAGGAGAAAGAGCAGTTTGGAGAGAGAGGATAAATAAGTATGATTTTGAACAAATCAATTTCAGGAGGCCAAGTCAGAAGTAAGGGTCTGAGAATTCAGAGGAACCCAGGCTAAAGACACAGATTTGAAAGTCATTAGCAGTTGTTGACACAGATTGAGACAATGTGGTTCCAAAGCCAAACACAGTGAGAATTCAAATTAAAAGCCAGACAATTTTATCCAACAATATAAAATCCAGCACACATCACAGCTAGTAGGAACAATGCTTCCTAAGCAAGGACAACTCTGGCACTGAGACATATGACTATGTCTGGAAACGTTTCTGTCCTAACTCAAGGGGGTGGGTGGGCTGCTACGGCAGCTGGTGGTGAGGAGCTGCCGGGGATGCCGCTGAGCACCCTACGATGTGCAGGACAGTCTCCATACAACTACCCAGCCCCAAACAGCGCAAGGTAGAGAAGCTCACAGCAACTTGCCGGCTAAAATGCTACACCCAGCAGGGCACAGACATCAAAACCAGATGTGCTGAGCTTGTCTTTGCCTTTCAGAGAATCTTCTGAGTACCTGAAGGCATAAAGAATAATTTCTAAGAGGCCAGAGTTGGGGTGTGGTGGGTAAAGCACCTGCGATGCTGGCAATACATATGGTTCTGGTTCATGTCCCAGTTGCCTCATTTCCAATCCAGCTCCCTGCTAATGGTCTGAAAAAAGCACCAGAAGATGGCCAAGTGTCTGGCCCCTGCTACCGACATGAGAGACCTGGAAAATGTTCCTGGCTCCTGGTTTTGGCCTGGTCCAGCCCTGGCTGTTGCGAGTCTCCCATATGACTGCAGGGACTCAAGTACTTGAGCCATCGGTTGTTCCCAGGCACATTAGCAGGAAGCTGGATTGGAAGTGTAGTAGCCCGGACTTGAACGGCATTCCTAAATGGGATACTAGCAACACAAGTGGCAGCTCAGCCTGGTGCACCATGACACTGGCCCCTCCTTACAAATATAAACACACAAATCCTCAACAAAATGCTGTAAGCCAAATCCAGGAGTACAACAAAAAAAGGACTATACACCAAGGCCAAAAGGGATTTATTCAGGAATATCAGGTTGGTGCAGTATTAGGAAAATCAATGTACTACAATGCCAAATCAACCATGTAAAATGCCAGTGTACAATGGCATTAATAGAACAGATGGGGGGAAATCTCACAATTATCTTGATACAGAAAAAGCCTTGGGCCAGCGCCTTGGCTCACTAGGCTAATCCTCTGCCTGCGGTGCCAACACTCTGGGTTCTAGTCCCAGTTGAGGTGCCTGTTCTGTCCCAGTTGCTCCTCTTCCAGTCCAGCTCTCTGCTGTGGTCCGGGAAGGCAGTGGAGGATGGCCCAAGTGCTTGGGCCCTGCACCCGCATGGGAGACCAGGAGGAAGCACCTGGCTCCTGGCTTCGGATCGGCACAGCGCGCCGGCCGTAGCAGCCATTT